CAACACGCAGGCTATCGCCGACACCTTCACTCCACCTCACAAAGTCCACTAACATTAAACAAAAACCCACGGACCCTGCCGCTTGTCGTGCCACCACAACAATTCCACTGCACTTTTACCCCTGACGTTGACGGCGAGTCCCTTGATACAGAAGAAAAAAAAAACAGAACCTTTCCTCCACTTAGTACCGTCTGACAAACCACAATTTTTGCAGCATAATGCTACAAAAATTACCGTCGTCGATGCCGAAAAATTTTGGCAGCATATCCCCACAAAAGTGAAAAAATAGCCTGTCACAGTCCAACTTGCCAGTACATCCATCAGCATAGCCTTGACCTGAGTGTCTTTTCAACGGGCGTAGGGTGCAGTTTAACAGCTGTTGAAAGCAGTTAAATCCCCTAGACCCCCGTTGAATTCTAGTTTGAATAGGAAACGGAGACACTCCCACCATTTTTTTTTCAACGGTTGGGGTCCATGGGGGTTCGGACAGATGGCCCAACACCCCCTTGCCTTTAAATTGGAAAAAAAAAATCACTTTTGGTTGCAGAACCCTGTTCCAACCCATTGGATTAAAAAACAAAAACGATTTTTCACTTTTGGGGTGAGTTGGGTGGGGGGGGGGGGGGCAAAAGGGATTAAAAAAAATAAAAAATAAAAAATAAATGGTTGGTTGATTGATTGATTGATTGGTTGATTGACTGATTGATCGATTGATTTTGATTGATTTATAAATAAATGAACGATTGATTGATTGAAAAAAAGAGAAAACACTACGTGCAGGAGGAAGGGGAGAGCAGTGAAAGGAAAAAGAGAACAGTGGGAGGAAGGGGAGAGCAGCGGGAGGAAGAGGAAATGCGTGTATATGAGAGGGTGCACATGTGCACGTGTTGCCACATGAGAAAATGGGTACACACACTCGTGTGACTGTGTGTGCCGCTACGATTGGTATGCGTGTGAATGTGTGTACACCTGGGGCGCAACAACAAAGGCCTAGTCTGAAATGGATCCGGGCAGCAAGTTAAAAAAAAAAAAAAAAAGGTAACTATGGGGCAGTCAAGTTTTCAATTGTAAATCCAATCCAACATCCTTCGAATATAACACATCCCCACCCAACCCTACACATGGGGCGGATACATGCGGATTCGTCCGAGCACATAAAATTGTCAAAGTTGCCTCTTGCAAAACGCTTGTTTCATTGTGTTTGACCTCCCTGTTTTGAGAAGACGGGCCTCAACGCCTGGGCCTGAGGGCACTTTTACAGCCCACATGCCCTCACTTCTTTTTGGGGTTCGTTTTTACCCAAGGACCGGTCCAATGCTCCCCACTTCTTTTTGGGGTCTACATCCACCCGAGAACAAGTCCTGCCTGTTTAGAAAAGTCCCGGTTCTACTAGAGCTAGCTGTAGGTAGTTTGCAATTTTAGCAAGGACAGGTCCCCCAATTTTTTTTGCCCCCTAACAACCCACTTTGCATCTTGGTTGCCTACCGCCAAAAATGTGACACCTTGACACAGACGCGGAAACCCACTATACCGCAGCCTTAGGGCTGCGAACTGTGCAAACCAGACGGCAACCGTGGTATACTCCCAACAGGCTGACAAGACTAGACTGGACTGTACTGGCCTGGTACCGACCGTGGTACCGGGCAGGACTGAATTGGATTGAATTGGATTGAATGCAAAATAGTGAAACATCCCTGGCTCCACGCCAGGGCAGCCAGAGGCACGTTGCAGGCACTCTGCGTCTATACAAGTTCATATCTTCTTCGTCTCTCCACCTTCTCTCTTCTTCCCTCCCCTGCTCTCTCAAACTTCACTCCCTTGTTTCTACCTCTAGATCTCCCCCCTGCTCTCTCCGATCATTGCATATGCTTCCTCTGCCTAGGATAGGTCATGTCTCTCCGATGGTTTGGACGGACCGAACTGGAAGGAAGGCGGTTCTTTGTACTGTGGTGCTAGATCCCTCAAGTTATAGGAGTCGGAGGGTATGTCGGGAGTGGATGAACCAGAGTAGTCAAGGCATGAGGGTCTGGATAGACTGGGTCACAATGACACAATCTCGCATCTTGAGTGCCCTGTCCCCATAGTGGTGCGCGGTCAAGGCCTGAGGGCCCGGTCCCCATAGTTCGTTATGAAAATTCTTCCTATTCATTCTTGCCGAAATAAACATTAGATGATGAAAAAAAATGATGGAGACACATGGACGATGAAGCGCGGAAAACCACCAGTAATTTTACGTGGGTGACGTGGTTTCAACTTCTGGATTCGACAAGGCAAAAGCAGAATCGCAAACCTTTCCGGCTTGTCTGCCTCGTTCCGCAACATCTTCCGTTTCAACTTTCAACCACTCCATCGATTCCCGCTCAACTCGGGGCGGTGCCTCGTCACGTACCCCAAAGGACATCCTTCTGGCAAGCAGAACCTGCGGACAAGATCGCGAGTATGGCGGACAACTGCCAAATTTCAAACCCTGATAGTTGCGCTCCCGAATATTGATATAATATAACTTGGGAGCGAGGCGGGGCGTGGCGCGCGCTCGAGCGGTGACCTCGGCCTTGGCGCTTGCGAGCAAGTCTCGTAATGACGCTCTCCTTTTTTGCCACGTGTACATCACTTGATGTTGCTTGTATTTCCCACTATTTCCCGCCTTGTCGCTTCGAAAAGAACCCAAAATCCCGCTATCTAGATTACACTTTTTTTTCACACTTGTAGGATGGGGTGGGTGAGAGTGGGGACCGTTCCCGCTCTGATACCAGTGTGACGGACCCGTTGGGATGACAGTTCGTCAGGATCAAGACGAAGGGATGAGGATGATGGAGATGGAGTTGGAATGGACAATGCAGCTCCAACGCAGATTCAACACGCACGTGCTCCAAATTGTCTACCACTTGGGCGCGGGGAACGCAGCCCTAAGGTAGCCAAAGCGATGAGACTAAGAGTGCACACGCGTGCGCGCGCGTGCGCGCGAGCGAGCGAGCGAGAGAGAGAGAGAGAGAGACGCAGAGAGAGAGAGAGAGAGAGAGAGAGAGAGAGAGAGAGAGAGAGAGAGAGAGAGAGAGAGATGCTGAATGGCAAAATTGAAATATAGGTCGAATTGCGGCCGCGATCTATTTCACAGTTGGAATGATTTTTTAAAATTTATTGAGCATTTTTCTTGGAAAGATCACAACAAAATCTACGCGTACTCCAATTTTCAGTTTTTTTCACGCATTCTGCTGAGCGCGAAAACTCAGTGAATTGGGAGTACATTTTTAGTTGGCCGACACATGGCTGAGTGGCAAAAATGGAAAATGTGCCGAATCGGCGCGACAATTATTTCGCCGTCTCAATGATTTTCTGAAAATGTTCTAATATTATTCCTGGAATGAACATGACCTCATCTATGGATTCTCAAAATTTCAGATTTTTTTGCTGGTTCGTCCGAGCACAGAAAATCGCCAAATTTGCCTCTTGCAAAACTCCTGTTTCGTTGTGCCTGACCTCCCGGTTTTGAGAAGACGGGCCTCAACGCCTGGGCCTGAGGGCACTTTTGCAGCTCACATGCCCTCACTTCTTTTTGGGGTCCACTTCTACCCGAGGACCGGTCCAACACCCTCCACTTCTTTTCGGGGTCCAATTCCACCTGAGGACTGGTCCTTCCTTTTTTAAAAAGTCCCGGTTCTATCAGAGCTAGCTGCAGGTAGTCCGCAATTTTGGCAAGGACCGGTCCCCCAATTTTTTTTGCCCCCTAAGAACCCACTTTGCGTCCTGGTCGCCCGCTGCCAAAAATGCAACACCTTGACACAGACGCAGAAGCCTACTATACCGCAGCCTTAGGGCTGTGAACTGTGCAAAATGAAGAATGACCCGAAAACAGACTGCAGCTATGGTATACTCCCAGTGGACTGACTGGACTGGACTTGACTGAATGCAAAATAGCCAAATAGCCCTGACTCAAGGCCAGGGCAGCCAGAGGCACGTTGCAGGCACTCTGCTTTTATACGAGTTCATATCTTCTTCTTCCCTCGGCCTTTTCTCTTCTTCCCTCCCCTGCTCTCTCGAGCTTCGCTCTCTCGTTTCTACCTCCCGATCTCCCCTACTCTCTCCAATCATTGCACATGCTTCCTCTGCCTAGTCTGGATAGGCCATGTCTCTCCGATGGTCTGGACGGGCCGGACTGGAAGGAAGCCGGTTCTGTACATGGACTGGGCCGCAATCACACAATCTCGCATCTTGAGGGCCCTGTCCCCTTAGTGGTGCGCAGTCAAGGCTTGAGGACCCGGTCCCCCAATAGTTGGTTCTGGAAGTCCTTCCTATTCCTTCCTATTCATTCTTGCCGAAATAAACATTAGATGGTGAAAAAAGACGATGGAGGCACATGGGCGATGGAGCGCAGAAAACCACCAGTAATTTTACGCGGGTGGCGTGGTTTCAGCTTGTGGATTCGACAACGCATGAGCAGAATCACAGGCAGGCCCTTCCGGCCCTTCCGGCCCTTCCGCCTCGTCTGCCTCGTTCCGCAACGTCTCCCATTTCAACTTTCAACCACTCCATCGATTCCCGTTCGGCTCGGGGCGGTGTCTCGTCACGTCCCCTAGAGGACGTCCTCCTGCAGGGCAGGCAAAAAAAAAGGAAAAAAAAACCTGCGGACAAGATCGCGAAGAGATCCACGAATAGTGCGCGAAAGTGGTGAAAGGAAAAAAAAAAAAAAAAAAAAAGTGGTGAAGGGCGGAGCTCGGGGTCGAATCCGCGGGGAGGTTGGGCCGAGGCCAGGAGGAGGTAAGGGGAGGGGAAGGCTTGGGAGCGATCGGGGCAGCAACTCGATTGCGACTCGGATTGCGATTGAGGCACGGCGGAAGGCAGCTTGTCTGTCGGGATCGAGGCCCTCCGAGTGGGGGTGGTCGCGTCGTCGCTACAGCGACGCAAACCAAGCAGCCAGCCAGCGGAAGGCGTGCGCGACGTCCGCCCAATCCGGTTATGGTCGGTCGGCTCCGCTTAGTCGTTGCAGTCAGTCGGGTCGGTCGTTCGGTTGGTCTTCCTGACAGGCTGTCCGGTCGGCAAAGGAGGGTGTTTCCTCTTTCGCCGGTCGTGTGAAACTGTCCAGGTGGCCGCCCAGGTCGGCGGTAGGTTTCTTGCTCTTCTCATCCGTCCACGTCCTCGTGGACTCCTAGCGTCAGCGGAGGAGTGAATCGCCAGCGACGCCGCGGGATCTCCGCAAGAGGAAAAGGCGGCAAAAACGTCTCCTTTTCTTTGGCTCACGGTGCCTTGATTGATGAGCTCGCTGAGTAACCGACCTTAGATAGGACTGACTACGGTAGGAACGACTCTGATTAATTGCCTAGTCCGCGTGATGAACGTGAGAGGACGTTGCAGTGATGGGACAAATGATAATGATGATGGGACTATGCAGTGATGGGAGCGGCATGTCCCTTTTGCCCTCCAGGGCACACTCGCACACTTGCACTTTCCTGCAGGGGCTTGAGCGTAATTGTAAGAAAAACCCTACGTTGAATTGATTTGGCTGTAAAGTCCCAGTTGCTAGCTGCGATGTACCCACAGTTTGCAGTTCGGCGGGCGGATTCAGAGGCGGCAGCGACGGCGAGGGGGATCATCATCGCAGTCAAGCAGCGGAAGTGGAGGAGCAGGTGAGGATCCTGTAGTGCAGATATTGTGTCCCTTGGCGTGTATTGTGGCTTGGCAGAGGTGAGGGTTGACTGAGACATTGGACAGAGGGCGATGGGCTGGAAAGGCAGGAAGGAGAGTTTGTGACCTTGGGGGGCATGGGAAGTATATGTGGGGTAGTCGGTCGTTTGAACGACAAGCTACCTTCCTGTTGGGTAATCAGTTCTCCTTTCAGATGCGTCGATGAAAGTGAGGAGGAGTAACAGAGCTAAGGAGGGAGAGGGCACGTTCGGGTGGGGCTGAAAGGACAAGCACATGTAATCAGATGTCCATTCGGATGCGTTGATGAAAGTGAGGAGGAGGAAGAGAGTAAGGAGGGAGAAGGCACCTTGGGGTTGGGCTGAAAGTAGGAGGAAGAGGATGAGGGAAAGGGAGAGCAGGATCTGCTAATCTTAAGGTTGAGCTGGTGTGCGACAGCGCAGCAGAAGGTCAGGGGGGGGGGGGGGGGGGGGGGGGGGGGGGGGGGGGGGGGGGGGGGGGGGGGCGCGCGGCCGCGCGGGGCACGTGGGATTAAAGGCGGGCCCGAGGAGTAGAAGAAGGAGGGGGGTATACGAGTCGTCGGCCGGATGGCGTCTGGCACAGATCGACGCTCGGGGACGCAGAAACGTCCTAAAGGGTCTTTGTCAAGATCATCATCCAGGGATGATGTCCGTAAGAGAGCGTCCAGGAGCCATTCGGAGAAGTCCGCTGCGATCGAGGAATTGGAGCTAGAGATCGAAGGTATTCTATCTCTCTGGTTCTGCGCTCTTTTTTTTTCCCCCTCTCCTCGGCCCACTCTTGAACCCCTCACTGGCGCGCAATAAGCGCAGGGAAGAAGAAGTACGGAGATTATGATCTCTCTGGTCCTCTTGTCCCCCTCCTCTTGCCAATCTCGAACTCTTCACTGGCGAGCACCAAGTGCGGGAAACAAGGAAAGCGAACGTTATGACAATATATAATAACTTCAGGGGGAAGGTCTCACTCGCGTTGGAACCGTAGATCGGATCGACGGCCACAGACACGGAATCCGGCTAAGTGGGAGCTTCCCTCTTACTCAGGCGATATTCAGGGTAGTCGACAGGTGGCACCTAGTTCTTGAAACCGCTCTTTCTGCTTCTCTCCCTCTCTTCCCTCTCTTCCCTCTCTTCCCTCTCTTCCCTCTCTTCCCTCTCTTCTCTCTCTCCGTCTTCCCTCTCTTCCCTCTTCCCTCTCTCTTTTTCTCTCTTTTTCTCTCTTTCTCCCTTTTTCTCCCTTTTTCTCCCTTTTTCTCCCTTTTTCTCTCCTTTTTCTCTCCTTCTCTCCTTTTCTCTCCTTCTCTCCTTCTCTCCTTTTGCCTCTCTCCTTTCCTCCTTCCCTGTCTTCTTCTCTCTCTGCCTCTCTTGCTCTGTCCCCGCTCTTCCCTCTCCAGGTTCGTCTAGCTGATTGGAAACACTCCCACCCACCCTCCTCACCTACTACAATCATTTAATACCCCTTCGAATGGAAGCCAAGGGGGTGGCAAACGTCCCGGATCTGGTGTGCAACGTTCTTCCTCTCTCCCTCTCTCTTTTCCCTCTCTTCCCTCTCTTCCCTCTCTTCCCTCTCTTCCTCTCTCGTTTTCTCTCTTTTTCTCCCTTTTTCTCTCCTTTAGCACAAGGGGAACTATCCACCTTCCAAAACCCAGAGACTCCTCAGGTGGCACCGTTCCCCGTTTGGATGATTGAACAGTGTGGTTGTACAATATCGTGTACTCTTTTTTTTTTCTTTTTTTTTTCTTTTTTCTTTTTTGAGCGTGTACTCTCATCATAAGTTCAACTCCGGCGGCATTCAGAGCTTAGGAACTTGTAAATCCAAAGGACTGCATACTGTGTGGAAGGAGTGGGGGTGAAATGATGAAAGAGTAAAACACAAGGGCATTGTTGCTAACGGTGTAAGTAGATTGGTAGCGGTTGAATGTATTTGCGCCTACTGAAGTTATATCTCTGATATGTGCGGGCGACGGGGTGCCCCGGGGGGGAACGAGGAAGATGGGGGGGGGGAAACAG